AATATGATGCATTTAATCACAATATCAACCAAGAAAATAACACTACTCAATACATTCACGGAAGTGTCCGGTGTCCCCCCCCCCTGCACCCCCCTCTTTCACTTTCCACACCTTCCTTTCCCCAGACCTACAACCTCTCCTCCTTCCTCCCTCCCTCTCTACCTACCTCCCTTCCTCTCTCAACCATCCCGTCTGGTGCAGTTGGGGTACCCACCGGACACCTCCTTAAAAAATCACGTATAAATCTACAATACATCAATTTATATACCTATCTATTCCCTTTCCCCCCTCCCCCCCCCAGGACTTCCCAGAGCTAATCCAGGAAATAAACACACAATAATACAATTCTATCCAAAGCTACTCATTATTACTACACACTAGTTACTAGTGACTAGTATAAACTTACTGTGACTCTAAAATAACATTAAAATACATACAAATTTTATAAATATATCAATATTTGTTGTATATATATGTATATATATATAAAAAAAATTAATCAAAAGCTGCATGATAATTATTCCCAGCCATCCTTGAAAACATAACAGAAAAGAAAGGAACCTATTTGAGAACACTGTGTGTGTCTATGTGTGTCTATGTGCTTTCACTCTTTGTTGTGAGGGCTATGCTATTCCTGTCCAGCGGCTCAAAATAAGGAATTGTTAGCACAGTTAAAATCTAAAATTAAAAGGGTGGCTCTTGGTCAAGCAGTGCACTGAGCCTTTTAAAAGGTGGGTTAATGCAGTGTGCATCTTTTCTGAAAGTACACTGGTAGCAAAATTTCCGTGAGAAACCTGTGGTAAATACCTTCTTCACAGGCTGCATTCCGGTCTTTGGGTCATCAGATATTTTTTTTCCCCATCTGCATTTTTCCCCCCTTTTCAAGACGAGCATCCTGAAAAGCAACCTAGAACTAAGGAGAAATTTCCTGGCAGCAAAAACAATCAGTGGAACGGTCTCGTTCCAAAAATGGTGGGTGCTCCATCACTGGAGGTTTTTAAGAACAGGCTGGACAGTCATTTGAAATAGTATAGGGCCTCCTGCTCAGGGGTTGGTCTAGAACAGGGCTTTTCAACCAGTGGTACGGGTACCACCTGTGGTACATTGGCACCTGGCAGGTGGTACACAACCATCCTAGAAAAGTGGTAGTGGGGGAGGGGAATGAGCTGAACCGATGGCAGCACCACACAAGCCTGAGTGAGAGATGGCTGGAGCTGCAGGGCTGTCAGGGCTCAGCGGAAGCGCCAGGATCAGTGCTGCTTTCCAGCTGATCGGCGCTTCTTCGGGGCTGTTGGGGCTCAGTGGTAGTGCCAGGATCAGTGCCAGGCTCCGGCTGGAGCTCGGCGCTGATCCTGGTGCTTCTGCTGAGCCCTGAAAAAGCACCAATCAGCTGGAATGTTGCAGCATCTCCAGGGTCTTGTGGTTTACATTCAGATGCTTGGCAACTGATTCATATTTATGACGGTCACAGTGTCCCAGGGTCATGTGAAGTGACCAAAACCTGCTGCAACCATCCAGCAGACAGAGGGAATAAAAACCAAACACCCCCCACCCCACCCCCACTACCAATCCTCAACAGAAATGCTCACAACAATGAAAATCTCAGATAGGAGGAAGAGCACCGCCGGTGGGCAGGCAGGTGTCTTGCTTGGCTGTGGCTCGGGAGGCACTTTTTTCAGTGCCGTTGTAACTTCGAACAGTCACTAAGCAAACTGTTGTAAGTCGAGGACTACCTGTACTTCATCACTTTTTTCCTTTTTTTTTTTTTTTTTTTGGTCATCAAGTTTTTGACACCTTGCTAGGCGACGGGTGGTACTAGGATGTTGCCATCTCCTAAAAGTGGTACAGGGAGTGAAAAGGTTGAAAAGCCCTGGACTAGAAAACCTCCGAGGACCCTTCCTACTCTGTTATTCTGTTATTCCTCCCAAAAAGAAAGAAAGGAGTAGTCGCTAAATAGAACAGAACTTCGCACATTGTGGAAAGTCTTGCAAAGTTTAAGCAACTCTCACCTACGCTGTCATAAGCAACAAAGGGCTTTGACTGCAAGAAGCCCTTGTTGGACCATCTGCTTTTTCCACCTCCAGTTACTGCAGCCAGTTGAGATGGAAATGCCTGCAGGTCCACCACTTCTGTAGGGTTTCCTGCCCCCCCCCCGCTCCCCAAACTGCAGGCTTTATAAACTACTGCAGTCCCCAGTGCTGATCTTGGGGGCTGATGAAAGGCAGATCTAGCTCCTCTGGTCTGGCTTGCATTAGAGACTCTCCTACAAGCGGTAGGTCTTTTTTCTGAAGTGGGCTTTGGAGAAAAAAAAAAGTGTAATGGAGAACAGAAGTGCTAAGTGGCTTAAGTGGCACATACAGCAAACGTACACTTAAGCTATCAACAGTCCCGTCATTCTTTCCAGATTGGAACCTCCAGAGGCTGAGAGCTTCTAACCTCTTCCATTTTGGAGCTCCCTTCTGTGAGAAGCTGACGTGTTTCAAAGGGCTGCCACCTATTTTATTTTTATTTATTTAAAGTAGGGATTCTGAATGCTCACGGTCACGTGCAGAATACTTTTTTTTTTTAGTGGAATAAAATCACAGCACAGCCAGCACACGGACCCCCCACTTAGAATACTGCATCCAGCTTCGGTCGTCATAATGTAAAAAAAAGATGTTGAGACTCTAGAAAGAGTGCAGAGGAGAGCCACAAAAATGATCGGGGAGCTGGAGGCTAAAACAGTGGCAGGAATTGGGTATGTCTAGTCCAGTGAAAAGAAGGACTAGGGGAAACATGATAGCAGTCTGCCAATATTTGGGGAGCTGCCGCAAAGAAGAGGAGGTCAACCTATTTTCCAAAGCATCAGAGGGCAGGATAAGAAGCAACAGATGGAAACTAATCAAGAAGAGAAGCAACCTAGAACCAAGGAGGAATTTCTTAACAGAACAATCAGTCAGTAGAACAACGTGTCTCCAGAAGTTCTGGATGCTCCAACACTGGAAGTTTTTAAGAAGAGATTGGACAGCCACTTGTTTGAAATGGCATAGGGTTTCCCGCGTGAGCAGGGAGTTGGACTAGAAGACCTCCAAGGTCCCTTCCAACTCCGTTATTCTGTTATACAATCTGCATTGGGTGATGAGCAAGGTAGATTACAAAAACAATGGCTCTATTCTACCTCTGCTTGGCTGGATCACAACTGAAACCCTTCACATGGAGCAGCTTTGTTGCTGCAGGACTACCAGGATGATGGGGGGTCTGGAAAGGAAGCCTTGTGAGAACATTTAAAGAGCTGAACAAGTTCAGTTGTAACAAGGCCACACTTGGAATACTGCATCCAGTTTTGGTCACGATGATGTAAAAAAGATGTTGAGACTCTAGAAAGAGTATAGAGAAGAGGAACAAAGATGATTAGGGGGCTGGAGGCTAAAACATATGAAGGACGGTTGCTGGAATTGGGTATGTCTAGTTTAATGAAGAGAAGGATGAGGGGGGACATGATAGCAGTGTTCCAATATCTCAGGGGCTGCCACAAAGAAGAGGGAGTCAAGCTATTCTCCAAAGCACCTGAAGGCAGGACAAGAAACAATGGATGGAAACTAATCAAGGAGAGAAGCAACCTGGAACTAAGGAGAAACTTCCTGACAGTTAGAACAATTAACCAGTGGAACAACCTGCCTCCAGAAGTGGTGAATGCTCCAACACTGGAAGTTTTAAAGAAGAAACTGGACAGCCATTTGTCTGAAATGGTATTGGGTTTCCTGCCTGAGCAGGGAGTTGGACTCAATGACCTCCAAGGTCCCTTCCAACTTTATTACTACTACTACTACTACTACTACTACTATTATTATTATTATTATTATTATTATTATTATTATTATTATTATTATTATTATTATTAAGATAGATGGAAGAGAAATACTGTAGACTGATCTCTGGATATCAAAAAGACTGTCAGTGTGCAGGGATACACGTGTTCTTTGCTGAAACTGTTCAATCAGCAGGTTGAAATTTCAAGAAAGGAGTTTCTGGCTGAATATTAAGAGGTAATAGACTCTCAGCACCGTGGAGGTGGAAGGGACCCTGCTCTGCAGCATGTAAGAAGATCAATGAAACCAGGGTTCTCCAAAGCAGCTCTATTGAACTATGCACTATTAGCATTGAGATTGTATCGTCACAATATATTTTCGCTGTCACTTTATAAAATCGTCACCCATCCAACTGTCAACCTCCAAGTATGATTGCTCCTGGAATGGCCATCATCCAGATACTGTGGGAAAAACTACTTCAAAAATTCCCTGTAAGAAGAAGGCTGTCCTAGCACCTTCACCTCCAAAAGTTTCAAATATTGGAAGGCTGCTATCATGTCTCCCTGGTCCTTCTCTTCACTAGTCATGCCCGGTTACAGGAACTGGGCATGGCTGGTCTAGTGAAGAGAAGGACCAGGGGAGACATGATAGCAGTGTTCCAATATTTAAGGGGCTGTCACAGAGAGGAAGGGGACAACCTATTTTCCAAAGCACCCAAAGACCAGACAAGGAATAACAGATGGAAATTGATCAAGGAGAGATTCAACCTAGAAATAAGGAGAAATTTCCTGACAGTGGGAACAATCAACCAATGGAACAGAAGTTGCCTTCAGATGTTGTGGGAATTTCATCACTGGAAGCTGTCAAGAAGAGACTGGACTGCCATCTGTCAGAAATGGTGTAGGGTCTCCTGCTTGGGTGGGGGGGGGTTGGACTAGATGACCTAGAAGGTCCCTTCCAACTCTGTTATTCTACTCTACTCTACTCTACTCTACTCTACTCTACTCTACTCTACTCTACTCTACTCTACTCTACTCTACTCTACTCTACTCTACTCTACTCTAACATTTCTGTAAAGGTTACCTTTTCACATACTGCATATTATATCTTTAATATTCCCAGTGCCAAGAGTAATTTTGCAAACCTTGGGAATGCATATCAGAAATCAGGGGAGTATTTAAAATCAGGTGGAGTCTGAATGAATGAAACCAGAGGTTTTCCTCCAAGGTAAGCAGGTGTATCAGATTGCAGCTTTATTTAATTTCCTTTTTAATCATTTCTCTTGCTGTCAGAATTAACTGTCTTTACATGTCATAGCCTTGGAGCCTGAGGGCAGGGACTCTTTGTATCTACTGATAATTATTTTGGCTCTGTTTTTGTGTGAAGATCAGGATTTATTTTTTTTTTAAAAAAAGGAATATTTAAATACACGAGTCATGAAGCAAGCTCACCCTATTAAGATACCCAAATTCAGTAGGCAAACAAGGAATCTGTCCCACTGTAGCCTTTGGTGATTGGCATTTCGAACGTCCATCAGGCAAAAGACAGGACACCTGGTCCTACCGGGAAAGAATAAACTTCTCCAATAACACAATATAACTGATTAATTAATTAATCGAACAACGGTAGAAAATCAATATTGATGTACGACCCACGTCAACGAGTCTGGTCGACGTGGGTCGAACACTAGGAGTTTCCTTGATACCACCCTTCGTACGTCACGGGGTGGCTCAAGGTTCTGTCTTGGGCCCAGAACTCTTAAACATCTTCATTTGTGATCCAGATTGAGCGGATAGAAGGGGAACCCATCAAATTTGCAAACAAGCTTGGGGGAAGGGGGGGGATTTCAAACACTTTGGAAAATAGGCTTAAGCAGTGGTTTTTTTCTTTAAAAAAAAAAAAAAAAGTGCCGGAACTCACACACATCATACAACCCGCCTTGCCTACCCTACAAGGTTCCATCCAAAAAAGGTGCTGGAACTCCGTTCTGGGCGTTCTATGAGAAAAAAAAGGCCCTGGGCTTAAGAACCAGAACGATCTTGACAGTCTTGAGCATTGGGTCCTCCAACAAAATGCAGTTTAGTGGGGAGAAAAACAGGGTCCTGCACTTAGACAAAAAACCGCAAATGCATAGGTACAGAAGAGGCAACACCTGGCTCTAGTAATTGTGAGAGGGATCTAGGTGTCCCAGACCCAGCAATGTGCTGCAGCTGCCCCCAAAAAAGCTAATGCAGTCTTGGGATGCATCAATAGAGGGATAGTTTCAAGATCTGCATTGATGAGTCCATGGTTGGAATATTGTATCCAATTCTGGTCACCATGATACAGAAAAGATGCTGAGACTCTAGAAAGAGTGGAGAGAAGAGCAACCAAGATGATTAGGGTGTCTGGAGGCTAAAACATACAAAGAACGGTTCCAGCAATTAACTGAAGGTATGTCAAGTCTAACAAAGAGAAGGACTAGGGGTGATATGATAGTAGTCTTCTAATATGAGAGGGTCAACCTATTCTCCAAAGCAACTGAAGGCAGGACACGAAATAAGGGATAGAAGCTCATCAAAGAAAGATCCAGCCTAGAATTAAAGAGAATTAACTTGACAGTGAAAACAGTTAATTAGTGGAACAGCCTGCATCTAGAAATTGTGGGTGCTCCATCACTGGAGGTTTTTTAAGAAGAGACTGCACAACCACTTGTGGGTTAGACTAGATGACCTCCAAGGTCCTTTCCAACTGTTATATTATCTTTTATGTTCTAAACCTCTCTCAAAAGAAACTCCCTGCTCTTGACTTTAAATTTAAAAAAAACTTTTCCAAGAATATTTAACAATACCTAATACTGAAGCTAATAGGAGAATAATTTAATATGGCCTAGGTTATATATTTATTGCCCTGATTGGTCATGGTATGATCATGGTGCAAACTCTAGGCAGAAAAACATCAGATATGCGTATCCAAGTGTGGTGCCATTTAAATGGTGTTTTATAATTTGACTACAAATATTAATATATAAATGCTCTTTCACATGATATGCAAATTAATGAAGACCCAGCTTCTTCTGGTGTCCTCTTCTGAAGCAAAATGAAGCAATGATAAGGAAGGAATGATACTGTCTTTTCTTGTAGCTGGCCTACAAACATTGCAAAGATGAGATTGTCGTTGTTGTTAGTTGCGAAGTCATGTCCAACCCATCGCGACCCCATGGACAACGTTCCTCCAGGCCTTCCTGTCCTCTACCATCTTCTGGAGTACATTTAAGCTCACACCTCCTGCTTTAGTGACTCCATCCAGCCACCAAAAGATGAGATAGGCAAGACCAAAAAGGCAAAAACTAAGCTATGGTTTGTTTTATTGGACAAGCCACTATTACTCTATGGAGGTTCTCAGTCATCCAGGTCCTGGTTGTCCCAAAGGTGCTTTTTTCAGAGGCAACTGGACTTTCTCGTTTTTCTTTGAAGACATTTCGCTTCTCACCCAAGAAGCTTCTTCTGCTCTTCCGTTCTGGTGGAATTCTCCACCATTCAGTCAGAGCTGAAGAAGCTTCTTGGATGAGAAGCGATACGTCTTCAAGCAAAAACATAGAAAGTCCAGTTGCCTTTTGAAAAAGCACCTTTGGGACAAGCGACTATTAGCTGGATTTACTTCAACATGCTGTGTTCAAATGAGCAAATCTCGGGGGCCAACGTTATGCCACATGCTAAGCTCAAATAGATTAGCTACTCTACAATTCTGCCCCAAATTCAGGCAAAGTTAAAGCAGAAAAAGATAGCAACATGAGGTCCAGATTAAAAAGAAAGGAAAAGTCTGTTGAGGATCCTTCAAGTACTATCCCAAATTGGTCCATAGTTTTTGTCTCCCAATATACACACTGCAGTAGAATGGAGAGGCGTTGGCCTTTTGTCAGGATCACAGGCCTGTAGACGTAACTTGTGCTGTTTAATGTCCAGGTTGCTATATAATCAAAATCTAAAGTTCCTTTAACCAAGGGAACTCAAGGCTGGTTTATTCTAGCCCATTGCTGAAATCTTATCTCTAATTTCTCCGGAGTATTCTCCCTCCGCAAAGGAGGTTACTGCTGTTCGACCTTGTTTCTCAGATACTTGAGAAGGTGCCTTTTAGCGTATAGTTTAGTGCAACATTTCTGGGGACTGACTTGATTGCTGGGAAAGGCAAAGAGGCTGCTTCTGCTGCTGATAGCATTTTTTGCTTCACCTTTTCATCTCCTGAAGCCGCCCAGTGGGGCCCCCAATTGGAGAAAGACCTTTGGGATTCAATTAAAGTCTCCAGAAGGATGCCGGCCTGCATCTGTTTATCATCATTCAGAAGGATTTTTCTTTCTGCAAGCCCTAGTTTTGTCAGCCTTACGTGGAAAAGCTGAAAGGCTTATCTTAAGGAGAAATGAAATGAAATGATAACCTTTACTGTCATTTTTTTACTACTTATATGAGAAGATGAACTAGGACTAAAAAAGTAGGGAGAAGGTTTAGAATAGAATAACAGAGTTGGCAGGGAC